GCCCATGTTCATCTTGGAGTCAATAATGACTCCAAGATCCCTTTCTGCCTCCGTGCTCTCGAGTAAGGAGTTCCCCATTGTATAAGTGTGCCGCTGGTTCCTACTGCCCAAGTGCAGCACCCTGCACTTGTCCGTGTTAAAACGCATCCTGTTCCTGTTAGCCCACCCCTGTAACCTATCCAGATCCCTCTGCAATCTCTCGCTCCCTGCTAGCGTGCTCACCTCCATTATCCAGACCGATCTGAAACCCATTGAAAAGGCAGGTGTGGGGAAGGGGGGAACAGGCTTAAATGACTGCAGTAAGATTTTTGATCAGGCTAGGCAGCTTTAAAATATAGGAATTATTGTTTCTCTTCATTGGAGCAAAGCATTTGGTGTTTGGGGTGGTCAATAAAAGAATCAAATCTTTAAATACATTTAAATGCAGTTGTTATATAAAGAGAAGAACCTGCCAGCCATCATGTAAATAATAGACAGATCCTCCTTGAGCTTAGCCCCCAAATGTCTGCAAATGAATGTTGCATGAAGCCACGGGACTGTGAATCCATATTCTGGCAATGCAGAGCATGCATAGCCTAGTACACTCACAGATGGCCATCCAGAGCATTAATGCCAAGGATTATAGCAGTCTTAGAGAAGGAGGAGTTAATGAGAGCTGATTGGTGGGGGGGGTGTTTGTGCTAACATTTTCTAACCATATTCCCTATGTGAACTCTGTAGACTTTAGAAGAGAAAGCTATTGCTCTTCAATCCTGTCCCATTTATACTTCCATTCTTGGCCCGGTGAATATCTGAGATGGAGCTGGATCTGCTCCTGCGTGTTTGATAACTGCTCTTTCTAGTTGGTATTTTTTTTTCCAGTGTAAGGTTTTGCTAAGTAACAACTAGTCCCATGGTTGGAGAATGCACAGGTTAAAAGGGAAGGCAAGTAAGGAAGGCAGTCATATTCTAAGCCAAATCCGTTCATGGCTTCTCCATGGAACTGAGCCCACGAAATCTTCACCTCCTGTTCTTGTGTTTTATCCAGTATGCATGTGTGCCAAAGGGAAACTGCTACAGTAACCAGCACAGAGGCTTGCTAATGGCAGTCTTCGTTCCTCAAAGCAATGAGCGCCTGTTTCTTGAAAAAGAAAAGAAAAGAAAAGAAAAGCCTTTTTGGCATGAAAATTGCTTATCTCCAGCCTCCAAATCATAAATCATTCACAAAGATAGCGGCGACTCCAGCCTTCGAATGTTACTTTGTTAACAACACAAATGGGTACAAACAGAAAGGAAGAGAAATTAACATTTGAACCATATTGTTTCTGGAGGGCTGGGAGAACCCTTGCAAGTCAGCCTTGTCTTAGTGATGTAACTCCTGGACTAGGACGAGTTGGTCATGAACTCTGTTTCCCTGTTTCAGAACCGAAGTCTTCCTGTAGGTTGTTCTGGTTAGGCCAACTGTTTCTAAACCAAAATGGGGATAGAAAAGCATTTTTCCTTTTCTCTTTTGGCACTCACTTCAATTAGCATATTTCCTTCTTTAGTATGGATCCCTTGAGTTTAGCATCCCTACACTTAACATTTTTGACTGCATATACAATTCTGTGCTCTAACTGGGAATTTGCTTGCAACGTTAGCACTTTACTAATGATTCAACTTTTTTCCCTGATAAATAAATACTAAGCCCAAATGCTGCAGCAAATTTATATTTGGGGTCATTACTGAACTATTATTTAATCCATATTTTTGGGAGACACTTGCCATTTAAGTTTAAGTATTACTCCTCTGCCTACTACCAATTTGTTATGATTATTATGATTATTATTATTGCATTTTTTAAATGCAACACACCACCCCAATATATATATACAGCAACTATGCATGTCAACTTTAACTATGCACATGTCTGTTACAAGCAGCAAGTAATACTGGGGGAAATAAAAAATAATAAAAGAGGAGAGAAGAGTGACTGATAGAAGAAGGAGTGAGATGTGTGTAAGGTATAATAATTTTCTAAGGTATTCCAAAATATTCTAAGAACTCTTTTCAAGTTGTAACAGACTTTTGAAGCAGTTAAGCCTGCTACATGTCTCTTTTGAAAGATGCAAGCTATACCATCTCATCATACCAGTTTTCAACCTTTGGAGAAGTCCTATTTTTCCAAAGTAGTAATATAATTCTGTATATCACTAATAAGACCTACTGTCTAAGAAGGATTCATTTTGAATTTCCTGGGTATATGTCTAAGAATATATATATTCATCAAAGGTATCAATGCTGGATTCAAAATCATGCTAACTCTCATTGTAATTTCTTTCCAAAAGTAATTGGTAATAGGCATTACCTAAACATGCAATCAAACATTACCTGCAATACATCACATCTCCAACATGTACCTACTGGCAATATGACAGTATATTTAATGTTTAGATTTTAGATGGAGCCCAGTGCAGATAAAAAAAAAAAAGGGATCTTTTGTTATATAAGCTTAAGTGTATGATCAATTGTCAGTGTTCAAATATTGTGAACTGTTAATTTCCACTGGAATTCTTTCACCTGGACACCAGGGTCTTCACTTCAGTGTTAAGTAGTCTGTATCAGATCTTTTATGGCATTATATAGTCATAGAGTGATGGCACAGAATGGGGAAGAGAATCAGATTTCAAGGCTTCCTGCCACAGCTGCAGCCCCAGGAGGCCCCCAGGACCCCAGGTAAGGCTGCTGGGGACAGCACACTTGCTGGCCCCATCCTCCATTGCCCCATCCAGGGTAACCTGCCATGTGCCAGAGTGAGTGTGGCATAGGGGCTTCCCCGAGGAAAAGTAGCAGCAGCACAAGGTGTGCCACTGCTACTTGTCCACAGGGATACAAACAACCACAATCACGTGGACATGGACACCAAGGGCAAAAGAACAGGTTAGGGATCTTTTAGAAAAGTTGGATGTGTACAAGTCCATAGGACCAGACAGGATGCAACTGAGGGTGATCAAGGAGTTGGCCAATGTGATTGCAAAGTTGCTGGCCATCATCTTTGAAAACTCATGGATATCAGGAGAGGTCCTGGAATAATAGAAAAGGACACATGTAGTGCCCATCTTTAAGAAAGGGAAGAAGGAGGACCCAGGGAACTATGGACCAGTCAGCTTTTTCTCAGTCCATGGAAAAATCATGGAGCAGGTCCTAAAGGAATCCATTTCAAAGCACTTGGAGGAGAAGAAGGTGATTAGCAATAGTAATATGGATTCACCAGGGTAAGTCATGCCTAACCAACTTGATTGCCTTATATGATGAGATGACTGGTTCTGTGGATGCAGGGAGACCAGTGGATGCGATATGCCTTGACTTCAGCAAGGCTTTTGATATGGTCTTCCACAACATTTTTGCAAGCAAGCTAAGGAACCACAGGTTGGATGAATGGACTGTAAGGTGGATAGAAAACTGGCTGGATCATCAGGCTCACAGGGTTGTAGTCAATGGCTCAATGTCTAGTTGGCAGCCAGTATCAAATGGGTTGGTTTTGTTCAATATTGTCATCAAAGAACTGATGATGAGATGGAGTGCACCCTCAGCAAGTCTGTAGATGACAGCAAGCTGGGGGAGTAGTAGATATGCTGGAGGGTAAGACTAGGATTCAGAGAGACTGTGACAAATTAGAGGATTGTACCAAAAGCTATCTCATGAGGTTCAACAAGGAAAAAAGCAAAATCCTTCACTTAGGACAGAATAATCCCATGCACTGCTACAGGCTGGGGATGGACTGCCTAAGCAGCAGCTCTGAAGAAAAGTACCTGGGGGTTTCAGTGGATCGTAACCTGAATATAAACCAACAGTGTGCCCTTGTTGTGAGGCAGGTTAATAGCATACTGGATTGCATCAGTAGGGACATTACCAGCAAATCAAAGGAAGTCATTATTCCCCTCTATTTGGCACTGGGTGAGGCTCCATCTGGAATACTGTGTCCAGCTGTGGGCCCCCCACTACAGAAAGGATGTGAAGAAATTGGAGATAATCTTTTACAGGGCAACAAAACTGGTTAGGGGGCTGGGGCACATGACTTGTTAGGAGAGGCTGAGGGAACTGGACTAATTTAGTCTATGGAAGAGGAGATTGAGAGGGGACTTAATAGCAGCCTTCAACGACCTGGAGGATGTTTCCGAAGAGGGTGAAGCTAGACTCTTCTCAATGGTGGCAGGTGAAAGACCAAGGAGCAATGGTCTCAAGTTGCAGCAAGGGAAGTTTAGATTAGATATTTAAAAAACTTTCCCACCAGGAGGATAGTAAAGTACAGTAACAGATTACCTAGAGAAGTGGTGAAGTCTCCATCCTTGGAAATTTTTAAGAGCTGGCTAGACAAAGCCTTGGCTAGGATGATCTATTTGGGGATGGTCCTGCTTTGAGGTGGGACTAGATAACCTCCTGAGGTCCTTTCCAACCCTAATTTTTTATTATTATATTATTCTAATTGGTAGAGCTAAAGCCTCAGATCCAAAGTGATTTTTCTAATACTTGATGCAACCACATATATTGCCATGCAATTGTTTTTGGAAAATCAAATTCATCACATAATTTGAAAAACAATTTAATACAATTTTCTACTAGAAGCTGTTCTACACATACACTACCTTTATCTATCTATCTTCTCCACATCAGTTTGTGGAACCCATACTTAAAATTGAGATTGCCTTAAGTAAATGCTGTATGATGCAACAAAGGATGAAATGTCAGTAAGTTTGCCAAATTTTTCCAAGCTTGTCAGGTTGCAAAAATTGTAGGGATTAGAGAATTAGAAAGATAGTGACAAGTAGAGCTTATGACAGGTGATAAGAGAAGATGAAACGTAAGTGTCTGTTCAATTTCTATCCGTATAGGAGAGTTATCAGTTTACACTGGTCATCCAATACACAGCCTGACTTACTAAAAAGTCATTGTGCTGTTGTCCGAGGTTTGGAAGATGAAAACCATTTCAATTGGTGGTTGTATCTTTTCAAAATGAAAATTGTATCTGGTTATCCTCTCCCCACAGAAATCTGTTGAATATTTGGTTGATTTTAGCAAATAGGATTGGGGGATCAAAACATTTTGTTATGTAATAAATAACAAATGGTTATGTAATAGATACATTAAACAATGTAAGATATGCATTTTTAAAATATTAAAACATCCCCACAAGGATATTTCCAAACTGTTCCAGTCTTCAGATCCTGTAACATAACACCGGGTGTCTACACATGTACCCGACTGCGCAGTTATTACTGTGCAGTCATTTAGTAGCCACTGGTACTGCACAGTCCCAATGCTGCATGGGTTGTTTCTGAACCTATTGTGCAGTACCAATGACTTACTGTGCAGTAGCTTGTTGCTACTGCGCAGTAGGGCTGGCATCATGGTTCATGCCCGCTAACACTACATCACCTTACTGATGAGCTACATTACTGTAGTTTGTCACTATGATGACATAGCATCTCTTGTGGACACACTCACTGACAATCTCCTGAAAGATCTGGTAGATAATAACATTAATATTCTTTGATATTTAAATACCAAAATAAGTTCTGTATTTTGACAACCGTTGAAGCTGCCATTTGCTAAACATATCTTTTGTGGTATAATTATGTGGTCCAAATCATTCAGATTCAGCCCAATTAATTTTATAACTATATAGGTTGCTGAAATTGTTGATTAATAAAAAGATGGCAGGAACTGATCTCTAAGGCTGTGACACAAGTATCAGTGCCTCATCTGCACTGTGTTCACTATCTTAGTGTCTTCTACATCGTGATTGTTCCTTATTACCGTCGACACTGGTTGTAATGATACATCAAATAGGAAGGGGAGGGAGGTGCGAATAATGGACAACCTTATCAAATCCCTCTTTGTGAGGGAAGTGGATCAGATGACCTTACTGGTTACAGCTCTTGAGGTAGGATTTGCATATAACACCTATATCCACCCTTTGAATTCTTTACCCAATCCCATCTTTGTCTCTCTTGAAGGCACCTTTTTGTATTACCAGTCACAGGCCTTCCTCTGCATCAAGTATTAGAAGAGCCATTCAGGCTTCGGCATTCTGTCCAGCTGTTGATGTACATTATCTGAACCATGTCTTTATAT